GATTATATTGGAATATTTTGCTGAATTCACACACCTATGATATTTAAATGACAATGGAATACCCATCTCTGACAAAACTAAACAAAAAAGGGGGATACAAATGAATGACCATTTTGTATCTGTATATTCAAAATAGTTAGGATAGATATACAGCTACTTTCTCTTAATTCAGTGAATAGAAAGATTTGTTCTAATAGTGTTTGTGGACAGGAAATCATGTCTGCATCTTGTCCAATGAATAACCATTAAGACAATGATATGCAGTGTATTAATTATTGAAACTGTGCTAGTAATTGGTTTTGAAACTGTCTCATTACTATTTGTTTCTCAGTAAAATTATTTTAAAGAAAAGAAAAAAAAAGACAAAAACCAAAAACTTGGTGGTTGCAATCTCCTGGAAATTAGGTTGCTCTTGGAGATGCTTGTGGTCTGGTGACTTCTTTCTGATGTCAGGTATTGATGATGTGTTTTTCAATACTTCTGTCATCTAGATCTACTGGTCAGCCATCTTCTTTATGTATGCCATCTTCTTTACATGGCAGTTACTAAAAGGTTGGGTTTTTTTCCAAAGGAGCCCTAAGAAGATATAATCAACATTGAGGCTTCTTCACAAACTTGAGTTCAGAATCAAATGCAGAGAAAAACATGGAAAGCCTCATCATTCAATTCTTTTAGATTGGTTTTTATTGAAACCTTATTTTTTAATGTATATAATGTATAAGCAAGGACCTGGGACATAGCTCAGTTCAACAATGCTTGCCTGTCATTGCAAGCTCCTGAGTTCAATTCCCAGTTCAAAAAACCAATAAAAACAAAAAGCAAACACTATAAACAACTAAAATACCTTTACCTAAGACATGTCTGTGACCTGGGAGCCGTGGAGATTGACACATAGTAGGTGTTCTACGAAAAGGTAAATAATCCATAAAGGGATTAGATGTGCTTTGTGTGCTTTGTGTGCTCAACACAAGCAAAAGGAAGCCCTGAGAAAGAAGAGCAGGCTTTAAAATGTCAATAATTACATCAGCTTCAATAAGAAAGCTTGTTCACTAAACACACTTCAGGGCATGAGATGTACCAGGCTGTAACCATGTTGATTTTCCTAGTCACCCACTACCAGCCCTATAGGGGCAGTGTCCATAGGGTTCAAGAAATGATGTCCATAGAAGGTAAGCTATGCAAGGTCTTTGTGGTGTGTTTCAAGGACTAGACGGGAAAGAATCTGTTCAATTGGAAGGACCAGCTGAGATAAGGGAAAGGATGAAAGGATGAAAGAAAGAGAGAGAGAGAGAGAGAGAGAGAGAGAGAGAGAGAGAGAGAGAAAGAAAGAAAGAAAGA